GTGTGTTTGTTTTCACTGTCTGAGCATGAGTCCCAGGGTCTGGGCTGGGACACGATGTGAGGGTCACGAAGGTTTGAGAAAACCTGGCTTGGGAGTGCTGGGGAACAGAGAGGGGAAGGGGGCTGGGACCAAGCGGGGGAGCCAGGGAGGAGATGGATAGGAAGACCAGGGAGCGGGGGCGGAGAGCCAAGGCAGAATGTTCTGGAAGCCAAGGGAAGAAAGACAGGCCCAGACATAAGTGGCCTCTGCCCCCTCCCGCCTCGCGGCCTTGCAGCCCTGAGCCTCAGTCTTCTCCATGAAGTGGGACCGCGACGGTCTCAGCCCATGAAGGTAGCATGAAGTGACCCTTGGCACAGGGCCAGGCCAGCTCAGGGATGGCGGGGTGATTCCAGGTCCCGTCCGGCCCTCTGAGCCCCTCCTGGCCCGTGGCCGCTGGCCCATCCTGCAGGGGAAGAAACGGAGGCCACCCGGTGCCCTGCTCCCAGCCCAGTGCTCCTTCCTCTGCCCCGTGGGTCTGGCCTGCTACTATCGAAGGCCTCTTGCTCCAGGCCGGTGCTGGAGACGGACAGCCGCCTGGTGGGTCCCCGGGGGCCGCCTGGAATTTCTTCGGTGGCCAGCAGCCAGAGTGGACGTGCTCTGTCCTTTCCTGCAGGCCCAGCCTCCAGGCCAGCCCGGAGGAGGAAGGAGCGGAACGTGTGCATCTGCCCACCATGGGCTCCGGCACGGGGCCTGGCGGTGGGCCACGCGGCGCTCTGGCGCGTGGACAGATGGCACCTGGACGCATCCGCACCCCCACACAGCCCCTCAGGAAGCAGATGGCACGTCCTGGAAGGACGCTGGGGAGGGGTCTGTGGACGCAGGTGTGGGCAGGGTGGAGGGAAGCCGCGAGCGCGGGCAGAGCCCGGGGCTGGCGGCGGCCTGGGCCTGAGGGCCGGGAGGGCAGCTGGTCCCGCTGTGTGGGGAGGGTCCCCAACGGGCTGCGAAGGGAGGCCCCCAGCCTGCAGCGTCCGCCAGGGAAGGGGCCGAGGCTGGGTCCTCCTTCTGCTCCCGTCTCTGGCCTCTGCAGGCTGGGCCGGGCCAGGGCAGTGTCAGCAGAGCGCAGAGTGTGTCTGAGGCCGTGGAAGACAGCCAGCCTGAGGTCTGTCTCCAGCGGCCGGGCCCTGACCGTCCAGCTTCCTGGAGACAGGAGACCCAGCCCAGGACTGGTTTCTTCTATGGGGGCCAGGAACAAGGCCCACCTCGCTGTGCCTCAGTTTCCCTGTGCCTCCATGACTTCCACCCTGCCTTACCCTCCAGGGCACCTCATGCTTTCAATAAATATACCTCGCTGGGTGCGGTGGCTCATGCCTATAATCCCAGCACTTTGGGAGGCTGAGGCGGGAAGATCACTTGAGCCCAGGAGTTCAAGACCAGTCTGGGCAACATAGCAAGACTCCCATCTCTACAAATTTTTTTTTTTAAAAAGCCTGGCATGGTGGTACATACTTGTAGTCCCAGCTACTCAGGAGGCTGAGGAGGGAAGATTGCCTGAGCCCAAGAGGCTGAGCTGTGATTGTGCCACTGCATTCCAGCCAGGGCCACAGAATGAGACTCCGACTCAAATAAATAAATACACACGTAAACATATCTCCAAGGCCGAATGACCTTGGTCTCTGGGCTGGGGACACCGCAGAGGACAGCAAAGTCCCTGCCCCCGCAGCACGACTCCGCTCAGGCTGGGTTTGCTGGGAAGGCCAGAGGAGGGGAGCCGAGGTGACCTCCTCTCCACCCCACCCAACCCCAGGGGTCCCAATGCCTTCCTTCCTCCATGAGGGGTCTCGACAGAAAGTAAAAAAGTCGCCAGGTGTGGTGGCACGTGCCTGGGCCAGGGCCCCAGGCCCTCCCATGGCAACTGGTAGGTTTTTCTCCCCCAGGAGATTTTCTAGAAGTTCTTCCCCATGTCCACCTGGAGTCTCTCCTGCTTTCTAGAGAATCCACTGAGTCTTGTTTTTTTGTTTTGTCCGGGTCGTGCTCTGTTTCCCAGCCTGGAGTGCAGTGGTACAATCACGGCTCACTGCAGCCTCGACCTTCGGGGGTCAGGCGATCTTCCCGTGTCAGCCTCCCGAGTAGCTGAGACTACAGGCACACGACACCATACCTGGCTATTTTTTTATTTTTTGTAGAGACAAGGTCTTGTGATGTTGCCCGGGCTGGTCTCAAACTCCTGAACTGAAGCAATCCTCCCACCTCGGCATCTCAAAGTGCTGGGATGACAGGCATGAGCCACTGTGACTGGCCTCCTCTGGGGTCCCTGCTATCACCCCAGATGCCCCCAACACCCCATGATACCCATAGCTCCTGTAGTGATGTCCCTTCCACTCCAAATTCAGCCCGGGGGTGGCAGGGAAGGCGCTGAGCTTAGAACCAGGCAGCCCTGGGTCACCACTCTCCATCCGGGGGTCACTGAAACCTCAGAGAGACTCAGGTTCCTCCTCTGAAAAATGGGGGTGTAATGGTGCCACACCCCCAGTGTGGCTGTGAGGATTCAGAGCTGATAAGGTGAACGCCTAGGGCGGGCCCCGGTGCAGAAGGAGAGCTCAGCCCCTTGGGCTGGATTAACTGTCCCCGGGGCGCAGATCCTGGTGGGGCCTGGGGAAACCTCACAGCCCTGCCCGCCCCTGTTAAACCACCTTTGGCCTGCAGTGCCCGCCGCCCCCTCTCTGATCTTGCAGGAAAAGGCAGAGGAGCGGCCACTCTCGGGGTGGCCCACTGGGCGGGCACGGTCGCTCTTGACCCCACGCCCATGCTTGGCTGGGAACTGGCCGGGCACCCACAGGGCTGGGCGAGCGAACTTTCCTCCACCCCCACCCAAGGAGCCACACCCGCCCTTCCCACCCCTGTGTCCGCTTCTGCAGAGACAAACACAGGCCTGCTCTGGGCATGGGGCGGGCCAACAAGCGCTGGGAGGCCCCCGGTAGCCGGGCCTTGGATCCTGGAACCAACGCCCTTCCTCCAGAGGAGCCCAGGGCTCCAGCCTCGATTTCCCCATCTGTGATCCACGACAGAGATAAACATAAAATACACGGCAGGGCGCAGGGGCTAACGCCTGTAATCCCAGCACTGAGAGTCCAAGGCGGGAGGATGGCTTGAGCCCTGGGCAACAGAGCAAGACCTTGTCTCAACAAAAAAATCAAAAATTAGCCGGCCATGGTGGTGGGCACCTGTAGTCCCAGCTACTGGGGAGGCTGAAGTGGGAAGATCACCTGAGCAGAGGAGGTCGAGGCTGTGGTGAGCCATGATGGCACCACTACACTCCAGCCTGGGTGACAGAGTGAGACCCCAGCTAAAAAAAATAAGCCACTGAAGTCTGCCCCCTTTTGCTTGGAGCTGTATTTTGTCCCTGATCTTCCACCCAGGAAGGGGGGCAGATGCAGAGCGTGTGGCCCTGGACAGCTTCTCTGCTCTCTCTGGGCACAGAGACCCCGGCCCCAGCTGGCTTGCTGTGCCAGTCTGCAAGTATCCCTTCCCTGTCCCCTCCCTGGTTGGACACCACCAGAGAGGGGCAACCCGTGTCAGTCGTGCCTAGCAGGTCAGCCGCGGTGCCAGCTGGTGGAATCCCAGCTCTGTGGTCTTCTGGGGCCAACGGCCTCGCCTCGTCAGGTCTCTGTTTCCCCATCAGCCAAATGGGTTCGCTGAGTTCATGGGGCCGCGGGTTCTACACGAACGGCTTTAGCCAGGGCCTGGCTTGACGGGGGAATTGCTGCCGTCGGTGGGACTGCCAGCCTCCGGGACGGTGGCTGG